ACACCTATTAAGTCAAAAGACATACAACAAAGAGCCATATTTGAAAAACATCTGATAAAGATTAATATCTGAACATACAAAGAACACAACTTTTTTAAAAAGGATGAAACAATAGAAAAAATGGGCAAAGGATATTAATCATAAATTCACAGTAAAGGGAATAGATATGGATAATAAACATATGAAAAGGTGCTCAATTTCACTCACAAAGCAGAAATAAATCAGTATGAGACCCCCTTTCTCACATACACTCAATGGGGAAAGGCTGCTAACACCTGTTTTAGGGCAAGGCCACCAAATATCAAAACACAATTTAAGTTTAGGAATTTGCCCTATAGACATAGGTACTTTTAAACTTGAGTAGGAATACATGGAAAGGCTATTTCACTGCAGTGTGGATTCTAATGGCAAAAACTGGAATGAAACCAAATGTTCAGCTAAGGACAGGTAGAAAATGTATGGTATAATCATAACACAGAACAGAAGGAAATCACTAGTAGGAATGATGGGGACATCCTTGGTGGTCCAGTGGCTAAGATGGCACACTCCCAATGCAGGGGGCCCAGGTTCGATCGCTGGTCAAGGATCCAGATTCCGCATGTGGCAACTAAGTGTTTGCACACCACAACTAAAGATCCTGCTCAGCCAAATAAATAAATAAATATTTAAATTTTAAAAAGGAATGATGTTGTTTAGTTGCCGAGTCCTTTCTGACTCTTTTGTGACCCCCCTGGACAGTAGCCCTCCAGGCTCCTCTGTGCATGGAATTCTCTTGGCAAGAACACTGGAGGGGGTTGCCATTTCCTTCTCCAGGAGATCCTCCTGACCCAGGGATTGAACATGCATCTCCTGCATTACAGGCAGATTCTTTACCACTGAGCCATCTGGGAAGCCAGATCCAGTTAAACAGGGCAGACAATCTACAGAGTTTTCTAAATTCCACTTAAGTTTTAGCAAAGGAATAAAACTATAGACCCTCCCCTCTCTGCTCAAGGAGAAACAAAATGAAAAAGCAAAATGCAGTGAGAGGGAGGATCAACCAAAGGGAGAGAAGTGAGGGGCCCGGCAGAGAGCTCTGGAACCTCCCACCCGCACACAGAGTGGGCAGAGGCAGTGAGACCTTTGTGCCTCAGAACCCAGGAAGCTCAGGAACTGAAGGCTCAGGTGCTGTGAGCGCAAGGCTGAGAGCGCAGGCTGCCAACCAGAAAGAGGGCTGTTCTAAGATCGGCTGAACCGCCCCCTCGCCCGCCCCGTCCTCAGTGGCTCACCTGGCAGGAGACAGTTTCTTGAGAGAAACTGAACTGAAGAGGTTCAAAGACCCCAGATTATGACAGGAGGCTGAAACAGGAGATGCAGAGAGTCTTCCTACTAAATAGTAAGAGGATACTCTTTCAACAACCCCATCACCACCCTCCCAACACATACACAAAACCACTCAGAGAAAATACGAAAGGACTCTTCAAATGTATGACACGTGACACCAATTATAAAAACTCAATAGAGTCTAGAGGGTGAAGATGAAGAAATCATTGGAAACAGGAAAGGCAAGATAAGAAATTAAAGTATAAAATGTAGGGTCCAACATCCAACCAACCAGAGCACCAGAAAAGAGCAGAGAGAAAATGGAAGAGGGGTAGGATTAAAGAAATAATATAAAAAGGTCTCCCAGAACTGAAAAAAGGGGTTTCCCAAGTGAGGAGGCTGACCATGCTAATGCCCAGCAGAGTGGAGGAAAACAAGACTCCTGTCAATCACCATCGTGGATACTCAAAACCTAGAGACAAACAGAAGACCCTTCAAGCTCCTACAGAAGATGGGGAATGAGGACACTGGCCTCCTCAACAGCGACCCTGGCTGCCAGAAGACAACAGGCCAGTGGCCTCAAAACTCTGAAGGAGGACTTCCCTGGTGGTCAAGTGGTTGGGGCTCCATACTTCCAAGGCAGGGAGCATGGGTTTGATTCCTGGTTGGGAAACTAAGATCCCACATGCCACACAGTGCATCAAAAAAAAAATTTTTTTTTTAAGATTCTGAAGGAAAAGCACTTACAACCTATGATTATACACCCAAACAGACTAAGTCAATCAAACTCAGGATAAAACTGAGGTAAGGATGCATGTGTGTGTGATAAGTTGCTTCAGTCATGACCGACTCTTTGCAACCCTATGGACTGTAGCCCACCAGGCTCCTCTGTCCATGGGATTCTCCAGGCAAGAACACTGAAGTGGGGTGCCATGCCCTCCTCTATAAAGACACTTTCAGATATGCAGGATCCCACAGAACTTTTTACCTGCCATGCATTCCCCCCTCAGGAAGCTGCTGGAGGATGTGTTCCAGCATAATGAGAATGTAAACCCAAGAGACGAATGCAGGAGAGGAGGGGACAGGGGACAGAAGAGAGGCAAAGAAGATGCCCAGATATTAGAAGAGAAAAGTCTCAGGATGGCCTAGAGAGCAAGTCTAGACTGGAGCAGGAAAACAGAATGACGTGGAACAGATGTCCACAAACGAGCAGAAACACAGAAAGGTTAGGTCTGTGAATGCACTTGGCTATATTTAGAGGGTCTCTCATTTCTGCAGGACAGTTTGAAGGATATATTCATAAATGCTACATAGGAATCTAAGGAAATGGAAAGACAGCAATTATTACCTCAAAAAAAAAAAAAAAAAAAAAAACCAAGCAGTTTGTAAAAGAGAGAGAAACTACTAGTAGTCCAGTAGTTAAGACTCCACACTTCCACTGCAGGGGCCCTGGGTTCAACCCCCAGCTGGGGAACTAGATTACACACACACACAAAGGAAATAATCACAGAACCCTATATAGTTCATCTTTGAGCAATATTTACACAGTGATAGTAATGTCAACACTGAAAGCCAATGTAAACAAAACCTGTTATAGAACTGGTTTAGGAGAACAGAGGATGAGAAAACACGTGAGTTGTTTGTTTGATATTCTCAGGTAGAGCAATAATGGCATTAAAGCCTCATTTATTATATTAGGAAGCTGGTGGACAAGCCAGAAATTGGAAAATCAAAAAATAAGGGTGTACACGTTATTGAGAGACACAAAGGAATTAGCAGAAGAAACAACTAAAAGAGTTGAGGGTGAACAAAATTTGAGGAAGGGATTGGAGATGAGAAGGCATTCAGAAAAGACTGCTGTCTTTTCACTATGACTTGTATAATATTTTACTTAAAAATTATGTGCATGTGTAATTTTAATAAAAACTAAAATTTAATCTACCCATTCTGACTCAGAAACATGAAAAAACAAGAGGTCACACAGTGATGTAAATGAAAAGATTTCACATAGGTTGCATTTTCAAGCATTTCACACGGATGGCACAGAACCAGAAAAGACACAGAATTGTTAACAGTGACTGTCACAGAGGCCTGGGTTGGGAGAAGGGGAAAGATGCACATGAGATTTTTTTTTAAATTTTACTTCCTCATTCCCTGTACTTTGGTTTTGAGCAACAAGCATGAAAGCAAAAGTGAAAGTCTCTTAGTCGTGTCTGACTCTTTGTGAGTCCATGGGCTATACAGTCCATGGAATTCTCCAGACCAGAATACTGGACTGGATAGCTGTTCCCTTCTCTAGGGGACCTTCCCAATCCAGGGATCAAACCCAGGATTCCTGCACTGCAGGCGAATTCTTTACCAGCTAACTTACCAAGGAAGCCACCAATAAGCATGAATTACTCTATAAATAAAAAATACTCTAAAAAATTCATCCTCTTAAAAACTAAGTTTGTAATGGATAAAGATGATGTGGTATATATATAAAATGGAATACTACTCAGCCATAAAAAGAATGAAATAATGCCATTCCAGCAACATGTATGGACCTAGAGATTATCATACTAAAGGAAGTAACTCAAACAGAGAAAGACAAATAGCGTATGATACCACTTATGTGCGTAATCTAAAATTTGACACAAATGAACTTATTTAGGAAACAGAAACAGACTTAGACATGGAAGACAAAATACATAGTTAGCAAACAGGGAAGGTGGGGGAGGGATAAATTAGGAGTTTGGCATTAGCAGATACAAATTACTACATACAAAATAAATAAACAACAAGGGCCTACTCTACAACACAGAGAACTATACTCAATATCCTCTAATAAACCATAATGTAAAAGAATATGTATATATATGCTTGGGCCTTCCTAGGAGGCACAGTGGTAAAGAATCTGTCTGCCAATACAGGAGACACAAGAGACTCAGGTTTGATCCCTGGGTCAGAAAGATCTGGAGGAGGAAATTTGCTGGAAAACTCTAAGGACAGAGGAGCCTGGTGGGCCACAGTTCGCAGAGTCACGAAGACTCAAACATGACTGAGTGACTAAGCACGCATGCATGTATAACTGGATCACTGTACTGTACATCAAAAACAAACAAAAAAGTGTAAATCAATGATATTTCCATTTTTTAAAAAATTGTTTAGTTGCTAAGTCGTGTCTGACTCTTTAGCAGCCCCATGGACTATAGCCCGCCAGGCTCCTCTGTCCATGGGATTTCCCAGGCACGATTACAAGAGTGGGTTGCCATTTCCTTCTCCAGAGGATCTTCCTGACCCAGGGACCAACTTGCATCTCCTGCACTGCAAGTGGATTCTTTACCACTGAGCCACTAGGGAAGCCCCCTTGAAAAATAAAACTAAGTTTCTTGTTATTCTCTTTCCATAAATTTGATTGCTGTCCACATATATTTAATACAATAGTTCAGCTTCAGAAACATGAGGAAATACTGAGTGCATTTTTTCTCTCTCATTTCTGCTCTTTGTATTAACTGCACCTCTATCAGGCATCATGCAAAAACTGGAGTTGAAAGAAACCCCAAAGCTCATTGCTAAACTAAGCACTGAGCCCCTTAAGTGTCAAACAGAAACAATCGCTTTATCATCCTGCCACCAGCAGCTCAGCAGGGCTACAATAATGAGACCTCCCCTGGGGACAACAGTTCTAGAATCAGAAGTGCCCGGCCCAGTCTTACCCAGCTGCCACTTGTGGGAACACATGGTCTCCATCATCCAGATGGGCAGGGCTGGCTCCAACATGGCAATCCCCATGTTTGCGAAGCAGATGGACCCTTTAAGGGAGGAAGAGGGTTAGTGTCCTTCTGTTTGGGGTCTCCAGTGTCCCCTACCATTCCCAAACACAGCTAAATCCCATGTGCCCACAGCCAGAACAATCAGCTCAGATACCCAGAACTTCTACTTTTGTAAGAATAACAGATCAAGGGGATAGTGGGGAGGGTTGTTTCTTTTAAGTATTACTATTACTTAAGACAACTAGCATCTCAGAGTCATAAAGTTTGGAACTAGAGAAAGGCTTAGAGATCACCAGGTTTAAACTTTCCCAATTTATTAGGGAAGTAATGTGCTTGAGGCCACTCAGCAGCTCAGACTGATCACACATAGACTCAGGCAACCTGAGGCTCCTAAATCTTGTGCAATCACACAGATATTTCTAAGGATGCCCCTGATTGCTTGAAATTCCAGTGCACTTGGTGCAAATATGCTGGTGAGGAATTTTTCTTTTAAAACAACTATACCTATAGGGTAAATACCCATCATTACTGTGTTAACCAGAACCCTCTGTAAATGCAGAACCTTTGGGGAAAACACACACACACTGCTGTCCCCATTATTCTGAAAGCTTCCTATGCTGTGCGCTGTGAATCCTCTAATTTTCTAGACTTCAGATTCAAAGAACATCGTGCAACCATAATTAAGGCACTTACAGATGAAGAAAGATTTTTTTTTATTCTTTGTAAATTTAAAGACAGAACATAAAAATGATATTGAAATGGCTGGACTACCTTCACTCACCTATTTTGTGTTTCCTTAGATTCTGTATTTGTCTATTTGACATTAACTATAGGGCCAAACTAACAAACCAGGGTTGTTCATGTCTCCCCTGTGATCCAGAGCCCATACTCTGAGCTCCCTCTTTATTAACTCTGACCTAGGACACCAGTATCCCCTCCCCACCCTAAATTCACCCAGGGAACTGGGGAGAGCACCCAAACTGGGATTACTGAAACTAGCCAACCCTAAGCTGCTTACCCTGCCCTGGTATTCACATAGAAGCCCCTAGGATCTGGCCTGGGCTTTCCCCAGCCCCTTTCTGCCTCCTGACCAAACCAGTTCCCCATGTGGCCCTGAGCAGTGTGGCATGCTCCCTTTTCTTGGGAAATGCAACTAACAAAATCTTCCTTCAGTGGTATTGGCCTCTCTTGTGTCATCACTCAGTCACCTCCATAAACTAACAAATGAGACACACCAGGCTTGCAACTAACCCCTCCCCCTGGCCAGGCTGCCTGGACCTGTGATGGCCTGACATTGAGTGCTGGCTGGGTCTCTGTACTTCCTCCATGATGGGTGGGTGTTGCGTAGGAACAAGACAGGTCAGAGAAGGTCGGAGAGAGGCAGGGGCAGGAAGGTCACAGGCAGCAACCCCTGCCCACACGTCTGCCCCAAGGTACAGGGTGGCGTCTCTGGGCCCCCACCTCTCTCCACACATGTCCTCACCCCCAGCTCAGACAGCCAGGGCTCCAGGGGAATCCCAGGTTTGGAATGTTCCCTGTGTCTTGCAGGGGGCACACAGAAGGCCCCCTCCAGAAGGCAGTCACCACTCTAGGCTTACCACCCTTTGGTCAACAGGTATGACAGACAAGGTCTACACCAGGGTCACATGCGTGCCACCTGAACCAAACCCAGCAGCAGATGGCTTAACAAAACCAGCCTGGGTATATAGGTCAACCCCAGTCTTGCAATTCATCCCACCCACTCCTCTCCCCCTTGATAACAAAATGTTTGCTCTCTACGTCTGTGTCTCTATTTCTGCTTCGTAAATAAGATCCTCTGTACAAACTTTTTCAGATTCCACATGGGCATACACACACTATTGACACTCTATATAAAATAGATAACTAAGGAGAACCTACTGTATACCACAGGGAACTCTACTCATTGCTCTGTGATGACCTAAATGGCAAGAAAATCCACAAAAGGAGGGATGTGCCTAGTCGCCCAGTCACGTTTGAATTTTTGTGACCCAATGGACTGTAGCCCACCAGGCTCCTTTCTCCATGGGGATTCTCCAGGCAAGAATACTGGAGTGGGTTGCCAAGCTTGCCTCAAAAAAGGAGGGATATATATATATATAAGGACATATATTTATATATATATATATATATATATATATATATGGCTATGGTTTTTCCAGTGGTCATGTATGGATGTGAGAGTTGGACTGTGAAGAAAGCTGAGCATCGAAAAATTGATGCTTTTGAACTGTGGTGTTGGAGAAGACTCTTGAGAGTCCCTTGGACAGCAAGGAGATCCAACCAGTCCATCCTAAAGGAGGTCAGTCCTGGGTGTTCATTGGAAGGACTGATGCTGAAGCTGAAACTCCAATACTTTGGCCACCTCGTGCGAAGAGTTGACTCACTGGAAAAGACCCTGATGCTGGGAGGGATTGGGGGCAGGAGAAGGGGACGACAGAGGAGGAGATGACTGGATGGCATCACCGACTCAATGGACATGGGTTTGAGTAAACTCCGGGAGTTGGTGATGGACAGGGAGACCTGGCGTGCTGTGGTTCATGGGGTCGCAAAGAGTTGGACACGACTGAGTGACTGAACTGAACTGAACTGTATACATATACATATATATATATAATATACACACACACACACACACACATATTTAACTGATTTGCTTCGTTACACAGCAAAAACTAATACAACACTATAGAGCAACTATATGCCAATAAAAAATTTTAAATATTAAAAAAATAAAAAACAGCCTGAGGTTTTGAAAATGGCTGAATCTGAATGGCCTCAGGCAGGCTGTGCCTTGGCTCGCCCAGGCTCCCTGCGACCCTCATGTCTGTGACCCCTGCTCAGACACACCTAACCCTAATGGGAGGGAAGCCACACTGCACAGCTCCCCTGACCCCAAGGGCTGCTGCTGAGCCTGTGTCCAGGCCCAGGCCACATAAGGCTGGTCCCTCACGAGGCAGTCCCAGGCCTGGGTCACAGGGGTGGTCCTAGGAGGAGGGTCACTTGGATGGACACAGCCCATTATCCCCCGCAAGAGCCACAGCACTCCAGGGCATCCTCTGAGCCCATCTCTGCTAAGAACACAAGATGTCTTCTGGCCGCTGCACAGGATACCCTCTGCAGAAAGGGCGTGCCCCTTCGCCCTCCAGTGCCCTGCTGTCGGTCTCCATCCACAGATGCCAAGGTGAATCAGACCACCCACCTGAGATGCCTGCAGGGAGCCCACGGACCCATGCTGGAAGCTCAAGGCCAAGCAGTGATGCCCGCTGACACAAACACAGGGAACAAGCTTGGCCCAAACATCCTCCGTGGAGGGCATCTCTGTGACGCAGACTGCTTTGCCCCAGATGCAAAACCACAAAGGAGCTTGGCTGCGTCAGAAATCAACGACAGAAGAAAAACATTTCTCCTGACGTGTGACCTCTTTGTGCCTTTTATGTTTTTCTGCAGCCCAGTGTTTCCAGCAGCAAACCCAACACTGATCCTCGCCACCCGCCCCCGCCCGCTTGGCAGGGAAGAGCCGGGGTGCTGGGGGAGCCCCACCTGCAGCGATGAGGATGTACGGGTCCCTCAGCAAGGTGGTGAGCGGCGTCCCCTTCTGGCTCTGTCGGGAAAACAGGGGTTAGAAGAGGCCGCGCGGCCGCCACAGCGCCCACCTGGCCCTGCTGCTCACCTCTGGCTGCACCCGGGACGGCTGGAGCACAAAGAGCTGAATGGCTATGGGAGGAAAAAGAAGAGGCGTGGCCCCGAGCACCTGCCCACAGGGATGCTGAGCCCGGGGTCCCCGAGATCTCGGCCAGGGGTCCCAGGGGACTCACTCACTCACCTCCATCCAAGAGCACCAGGGCAGCCAAGACCAGGAACGGAGCTGTCTTGCCCACAAACTCATACAGCACACTCCCAAAGGGGGGGCCCACTGCGAGGAAGACGGAGCGGGGCTGGCACCAGGCCGGGACTGCCGACCACCCCTCGACCAGAACCCTCCTCTTTGTGCTTCTCCCTCCATGCGTGCTCAGTCGTGTCCGACTCTTTGCGACCCCATGGACTGTAGCTCACCAGGATCCTCTGTCCATGGGATTTCCCAGGCAAGAATACTGGAGTGGGGGTTGCCATTTCCTACTCCAGGGGATCTTCCCGACCCAGAGAGCAAACCCTCCTCTCCTGCATCTCCTGCGTCGGCAGGCAGATTCTTTACCGCAAACATCCCCTGGGAAGCCCCTCTACTTGGTTCCAGACAGTATGTGAAAGGACCACCCTATATTCTGTTCAGGAGTGTTAAACCACCCTGGCGACTCCTCTAAGTGGTTTTACACCTGAGACATGGGCAAGAGCCTATGAGGGAAACCCCACAAATAAAGGTCAGAGAGAAATAAGGCCCAGGCACAGACATGCATAGGAAAACAGGCCAGGGAGGGCTGCAGGGTCCTTATGAAGCAGCAGACAGGGAGGGACTGTGGGCTCCCAGACGAAGGTCAGGAAGGTACAGAGGAGGCAGATGACCTGGATCTGTCAGGGAAGGTTCCTGTTCCTGGTCTGGGAGCTCAGCCAGGGCAAGTCGGGGAGGCAGGCTCAGAAAGAGGGAAGCTCCTCGGGTGGGATGGAAACTCAGAGAATGTTCTAGGGCAGGGACCTTGGCAGGGCATCCTGTTCAAGACTCGTTTTCATCTGGATCGGGAAGAGAGGACTGGGGAGCCCAGAACTGCCCAGGTCAGGACACGTCCCATTTTTCAAAGACTCCATGAAAGCAGGGAGGAAACAGAGGACAGTAGAGTGAAAAGGGGCTCACTGTCCAACACAGGATAGACCCTTCCCTCTACTGTGGCCCTCACCCACCTAGGACCCCCATGGCCAGGCCTCCCAGGGCGATCCCCATGGCGTTGCCTCTCTCCTCGTCATCTGTGTACACGCTGGCCAGCATGCCCATCCCTAATCGGAGAAAGAAACAGTGACAGCCAAGCTCTGGAAGCAACAGAATTATCTTCATGACTCACAATCCCGCCCACCCCCAGCCCAGACTGTGGTCTTCCCACACCTGCCAGACCAACAAAACATAAGGTCAAGCAACATCCAAAAACCCACCACTCACCACCACCGATACCCTAATTGCCTGAATTATTCCAGCTCATTCTGTAAAGGGTCGCCAGCCAAGGCAGTGCCCATGGTCCTTCCACAGACCAAAGCCCCTGGGGCATGGACTTGGTCAGTTCCACACCTACCAGCTACAGATGAGCAGGAGGAACCGATGCCCTGCAGGGACCTGGCGATCAGCAGGAAGGCATAGCTGCGGGAGAAGGCGAACACTGCGGAGAGAGTGGCCAGGCCACGGTCAGTGTAGACCCAGCTGGCATGGTGACCAAATATGCTCAAACAGGACCCTTCTGAAGGCTTCCCTTAACCAGATGGGGGTACTTCTGGATTAACCACATCATGCTCTGGCTCCCTGAAGACCTCACCCACCCTGAAGACCCTCACCCCTTTCTGCAGTTGTTGCCAACATACCTACCCCTGCCCCCATCCCAGCTGTGTTCTCAATTCCCAGCTGGTAGTGGTCAGAGCCCACCCGGTGAGCCAAACTCGGAAGGCAAACGTCAGACACTTACTAACTGTTGAGATAAACATGATGCAGAATCCTGTGAACATGGGAATTGGGTAGCCAATTCTGCAAAACAGAACCACAGAGAGAACCTAGTGACTGCTCCATTTTTTTTTTTTTTAAGCTTTTCTATTGAGTTTCTCCTGTTAGCCTTTGGGATTGGGTGGATAAGCGTCTGGTCAACTTTTCTAAAAATTCATATAGTTGGTGCTTCCTCCATGACCTTTTGGTGTTTGACTGTCTTGGAATGTGAATACATTTAGGGACTGCCACTCTGAGGGGAAATTTCTCTGGCATAAATGTTAATAAAATCTTGGCAAGTAACCCAGAACACATTCAAATACACAGCCCCTGTTTCCAGCATTTTGTAAAACTTTCTTTAATTATAGTTTTGGCTAGAGCTTCCCCAGAGGGACAGCTGCAATCAAATGATTCTAGTAAAAGGTCATAAAAAGATTCCATGGGCAGCAGACACAACTGCAGTATGTCTAAGAGGCATCAAGAAACAAGGACAATTCCAAATCTATCTTCACCTTGACCCTGATAAGGCTAGCTAAGAAAGACAGGCCTTGTTTTCTGTGCAAAAATCTCAACATCCTAATTGCTCCATAAGACCACAGAGCACAGGGCTCTGCCACCAGACAGACAAGAGAGGTTGGGAGACCTCAACGTCTGGGTATCACACCCTTGGCTGGACACCTGGCCTTGCCATTTAACTCAAGTAGATCCTCCCCCCCGCCCAGGCTCAAAGAGAGACCACCACCCACTTCCCAGAGGTGGAATGCTATGTCCCTTCAGTCATGTCCCACTCTTTGCAACCCCATGGACTGTAGCCCACCAGGCTCCTCCGTCCGTGGGATTCTCCAGGCAAGAATACTGGAGTGGGTTGCCATTTCTTCCTCCAGGGGATCTTCCCGACCAAGGGAGTGAATACACATCTCTTATGCCTCCTGCACTGGCAGGTGGGTTCTTTACCACTGGTACCACCGGGGAGGTGGAGTGGGTATGACATGAGACATGGCTATTAAACTGCTACCAGGGCACCCGGAACATGAAAAGTGCTTCAGAAATTTTGCTTCATCCCTCATTCTCTTCCTGTTTTCCCCACGCATTTCTGCAGATTAAGCAGCTTGGTCCCTGTCATACAGATAGTACATGAGAGTGAAGTGGCTTCCTGCCCCTGTCCTCCTTTCTGCCAGGAAAAAAAGCAGAAAAAAAGCAGGGGCTAGGATTGGCTGAGCGACAGTCCTAAAGGAGATCTGTGTCACAGCCCAAAATAGCCCTGAGCATCTCCAGGCCTCATCTTCTTCCAGCCCTAGACACTCCAGACCCTGGAGAGAAACCCAATGAGGAACAAGGAGCCTTGAGTCCCAGTCACACAGCCTGGGAGGGCTCTTCTACTCCAGGCTGGAATAAAAAATCAACAATACCTTCATCTAAGGTTACACTCCTTTCTCCAAGCACTTCCACCCATGAGCTCCCTGATTTGATAAGAGCAGACGGACCACTTCCCCATGTTACAGATGAGGTATGAAAAATTGACTTGTCTGATGTCTTAAGGCTAATTCCATTCAGGGCCATTCCAACTAGTCCTTCTCCTTGCAGACTTACTTTATTAACCTCCCCAGGTAGCCAAAAGGCATATGTGGTTTTGAACAGAACCTTCTAAAAGTTCTGGTTACACTTATATAATTTTTTAACTGCTTCATGTGCATCCAGAAAACAAATAGCATCATAAAATCCTCGCATTCTCAGGCAATCACCACCCCACAAACCGACACAAAGACCTCTCTACTGTGACCTGAAGTGAGCTTGTAACTCACAAAGCAGGCTTTGAAGCCAATCTGTTGAACTAGGAAAGATACCAAGGTTCTGAACTGCAGTTCGAATGTCATCAAATGACAGCTGCTTGTCTCCACCAGCCCTGAGCTGACTGCTCTGTGCTCGCTCTTCTGTGGGCAAAAGAAACCTGCTCACAACACCAGATCCAACACAGCACTAATGTAAAATGATGAAGGAAACTTCCAGGAGGCTCAGAGAGAAGTCACAGGCAGTTTATTTTCTCAGCAACTATTGTATGTCCATAAAGAAGCCTGAGCACCAAAGAAATGATGCTTTTGAACTGTGGTGCTGAAGAAGATTTTTGAGAGCCCCCTGGACTGCAAGGAGCTCAAGCTAGTCAATCCTAAAGGAAATCAACCCTGAATATTCATTGGAAGGACTGATGCTGAAGGTGAAGCTCCAATACTTTGGCACCTGCTGCAAAAATTTGACTCATTAGAAAAGACCCTGATGCTGGGAAAAATTGAGGGCAGGAGGAGAAGGGACGACCGAGGATGAGATTGTTGGATGGCATCACCAACTCAATGGACACGAGTTTGAGCAAACTCTGGGAGCTGATGAAGGACAGGGAAGCCTGACACTTGCAGTCCATGGGGTCACAAAGAGTCAGACATGACCAAGCAACTGAACAACAACATTGCCTGTCTGGGGTTAGAACGAAGACACAACTGCCCTGGAATGAACAGAGGCTTCTTGTCCCTTTCAACATCCAACCTGGAAAACCACTGACTTAAGTCAAAGCTATTGGAACACCAGTAATATTACATCCAGCCTACAGCCCAGCCACTGACCAAGGTCACCTGGCAGAACACAGCCACAGCTGGTGTGAGCGCCTTCTGACCTGGAGGCTCCAGCACTCCCGGAGATGATAAGCATGCAGAGTCACCTGTGACTGTCACAGCTCCATGTGGTAGCTGGCTCCAACCCTATTTTCAGATGGCCACATGGAGGCTCAAGAGACTTAAGTAACTTGCCCCAAATTCAGGACAGAAAGCATAATCTTGAGTGTCAACGAGGCCAGGTCCTGCCAGCATACACTCTGGTGGGGACACCAGTCGCAGAAGCAGAGGTTCACACGGGGCGCATGGAACGTGGGTCCACAGGACCTGTTAGTACCACGTGGCTTGGTACCCAGAGGGCTGAGCACTTATGGACAATTCTTTTAACCAAGACCAGGTGTTGCATTTTTCTCTAAAAATACAGCAGCTACTGCTGTGTTTCTCAATTGCTTCAGGATTTTAATAAAACATGACTGGAAAACCAAATGGCAAAGCTAGAAGGAAACTCAAAGGCTGGCCAGTCCAAACCCCCATCTGGGATGAGAAAGTCAAGGTTCAAAGGTGGAGCCTGTGACTCAGCCACAACTGCAGAGCAAGCCAGACGCTTTGGGTATCACTGGGATCCTGGTGCTTCCTTCTCACTACCAGACTCGTGTGGCCTACTCTTTCAACACTGGCCAAGCCACTGGCAGGGTGGCCCAGTGGCAAGTGCTGGGCAGCATCCTTCTCTGGAGCTCAGCCCCAAGGCAAATGCAGCCCACTGGGCAGCTCCTGGCTCTCCACCCTCAGACTGTCCTGTCCCCCTCAACACCTGCCTCAGGACAGCTGCCCAAGGCCCCAGGGTCACTGAGTGATAGGCAGATGGCCACTGTCCTTTCTGCCTCCCCACAATGTCTCCTAAATGGTCAGAATCTCAATTGACATTAGTCATAAATGTCTGATTTGGCCTCCTGCCGCAATTCAATGCCATCTCAATTAAAGTGTTACTGAGCTGAGCCATGTCTGATGCGGCAAACCTTTACCCAAGCATCTCGTTATCACCCCCTCGTGAGTCATCCTGGCCCACAGTCATCTCCACAGGGCATCAGGGAGCAGTTAATTCAATTGGAATAAGAGTAAAAATCATATATTTGAATCCTAGAAGAGAGCGCAAAGCAATAAAAGTTATATGCAATATGTATCCATACACAGTCAGTGGAAAAACCCCATTATGTTCCTAAATTATCACTGGCAATCAATACTTGTTCTCTAATGCTACGAACTAGTTTATCTTTACCACAGAGATTAATGCAAGCTCTTGTCCCAGGCTTGCCAAGATCGGCCTCAGGTCCCTTTTCTGGGTAAGTGACAAAAGCAAGGACACAGAATTAGGAGACAGAGAAGGGAACGAACTGCACCAGAGGAGACAGAGGTGACATCTCCCTTTTCAATTATCTCAACACACTCCTAAACGGTGAACAGCAGTCAAGAGAAAGGTGTTTTACATTTACTAGTGGCTCAGTGGTATGCAGGAGACACAGGGTCCATCCCTGGAGTGGGAAGATCCCCTGGAGAAGGGAATGGCAACCCACTCCAGTATTCTTATCTGGGAAATGCCACAGACGGAGGAGCCTGGCTGGCTACAGTCCATGGGGTCACAAAGAATCCGACAGGACTTGGAAGCTTGTGGTCAACCATTTCATAAATAAAAGAAAATCCTTAGGTTTATCCCCTGGGCCTGTCTCTTTCAGTTATTACGTGTGGAGTGAGCTACATGAGCCTTGAATTTCTTACTCGTCTGTGTGTTCCTTGATGTACAGGTCACGTGAGGGCTCTGCTCCCATGGGAAAGGCCCAAATCCACAGCCAACTTGTTCTGATTTCAAAGCAAAGACTCTGTCACACCCTCTCCATCCTCACGATGTCTGGGATGGGAGATCCCTTTCCAGAATGGCTGCTTTCCCTGTCCATGGAGACGCTTTTTGAAAAGGTCACTGCTTATTCCTACAGAACCCACCTCAGACCAACTGCCTGAAGCTAGAGAAAAAAAACCCACAAAAACACACAGTCGATCTGGGGGGGATTTCATGCCCTACGGCTTTCTCCCTGTCGTTCAGATGTGAGCTAAGATTTGTGAGGAAGAATAACTGGCTTTCAAGTATACTAGGTAACTATGGAAATAAATTAAGCCACTGACGCTGGTTTGATAAAAAGCAGACCACTGAGACAACGACAAGCTGAGGAGGGAGCTCTCCCCACCCCCTGGCCCCGGAGTTAACCCTTTCCCAAGCCGTCGGGTTCATTTGGAATATCTTGGGTCTAAAGATACAACTACTATGTAAGCCTTATGTTAAGCAAGTGAAGACCATAGTGCCATGTTCTTAACTTGACCTACGGAAGAGAGAAATGTCAAGGTGGTTTTCACATTGTTTACCTCCCTGGAACATGCTTTTTAAAAATCCACTTACTGGGCCAAATGACAACAGCTGTTGCTCATTAAGTCCTTCTACTCCATTTCACTCACAAGTGCAATCATGAAACAAACAGTTAAACTGGAATTAGAAAAGAAGTCACACAAGCCTCAAAGATGGCAATCAAGTCAAGACACACACCCACAGGCTTTGGAAAGTGTGTTACTGGACCTGCGATCGCCACCCTCACCATAGTTAAAATGTCCTTTGTTCCCTATCTGGTCACAAATTATTCAGTGAAAATATACTACCTACAGAGGAAATGAAACACGAATTACTTGCACCATCCAGCAGCCAAATGAGCACTTAAATACTTCCCAAGAATCGTCATATTTTATTTTCATGACTTGAGATCTTACCCAATATTTAAAACAAAAGACAGGAGGCTGCCTCCTGTTGTCACCCACTCACAAAAGCCACTCACGTGGCAGCATCATGACCACAAACAATGGGGCGCTGGATTGTAATGTTCAATGGGGTTCAACGGGTTATGATGGGTGTGACGTTGGGTGTCTCATTTCAGAGTGGGTGCTGCTTACAGCAAGAAGCTTTAGAAATGAGTGGCTCCAAGCAGCCCATCCCTAAGGAGCTCCCCACTGCATCTCTGGAGATGCAAGAGGTTTCTTTTTTCCCCACTGTCAGAAGCACTGCAGAGACACCGGGATGCTGGACCAGCACACATCATGAAATGGAAAAAGATATTTTTCTAGGGCCAGGGAGGTGGGGGAGGATCAAGGTCCCTCATATCAGGCTGATTTTTCCTAAACTCACTCCCACTGAATAAAAAAAGAATCCAACAACTCACTGTTTTGACTTTTTCTCATTCAGCCTGGTGCACCCAGGGAGAGCCCAAGTAGATGCCAAAAAGGTGGATTTTACCTATATTATTTATATTCCATAACTAAAGGTACAAACCGGGTTAATAGTAAGCTGATGGAAAGAACTGGAAGAGAGGAAGACATCATCAGAGTCTGGACAAATGCTTTCTCCTCCTGCGTGGCTGTTTAGTCACTAGGTTGTTTTGTGACCCCATGGACTATAGCTAGCCAGGCTCCTCTGTCCATGGGATTTCGCAGGCAAGAATACTGGAGTGGTTGCAATTTCATTCCACTGAGTCACCAAGGAAGCTTACCCTTGTGAGTGGCAAACCCCTTTGGCTATAAACCAGGGGTCCCTAACCTTCAGGATCTAATGCTTGGTGATCTGAGCTGGAGCTGATGTAATAATAACAGAAATAAAGTGCATAATAAATGTAATGCCATTGAATCATCCCCAAAGCACCCCCTACTCCCTACCCATGGAAAAACTATCTTCCACAAAACCGGTCCCTGGTGCCAAAAAGGTTGGGGACCACTACTATAAAAATACTAAGACAGCCCCAAAAGCTTTTGCTCAAGCCTCCTCAAGATCTGATGCTTCAAGTTTTAACTACTCTTTAATCAGAAACATATTAACCAAGTGTAAAATGCTATTTTAAACTCAGTTCTTTACAACCCTGAAAATGTGAGTCACACATCTTGTTGGTAATTGCGGATGTGATTGGCACAAATTACATCAAAAGGCTATTTGCAATGGCTCACAAGGGAAGAGTCTGTAAGCGGAAATATATTTATCACTTCTCTGAGCAGAGCTGCGGAGTGCCCAGAAATGCTGCAAGTCCCCAAATTCATATCTACTGGGCTTGGAAAATATTAGAAAACATTACTTATCATGATCATGTTGGAGGGACAACAGAGTTTGTTCAATTGTTTTGCCTGCCTGCATTGATATTAACATTTGTTTCCATTTCCACATTACAAGGCAGTGCTAGAAGATGAAGATTATTTTGAAATTTGCTGGAGAGCTGGGAGAAATCAGCTAGGGAGGAAAATTTTGTTCTTGACAAGTTCCACCATACAAATAGACTAAATTTCACAGGTCACTAAAGGAAATTAGTTTTGTCTTGGAAGATAATTTTTTTTAGGAGGCCCAAACACAAGCCTTGCATGCATGCGTGCTAACTCACATCCAACTCTTTGCAACCCCATGGACTGTAAGACCATCAGGCTCCTCTGTCCATAGGATTCTTCAGGCAAGAGCACTGGAGTGGGTTGCCATGCCCTCTTCCAAGGGATATTTACAACCCAGGGATCAAACCTGCGTCTCCTGCAGCTCCTGCATTGCAGGCAGATTCTTTACCCCTGAGGTGGCTGCAATGTCAAAGCATTTGGAGCATATAATAGGGCAAAGGTCTCACTGGTTTTAAACAAGCTCCTGCCCCTTGGCATAAGCAAAGCATTAGAAATGAGAATGGGAGGTTTTTTCCAGGCTTTTCATTTGTCATTTACATTTGGAAGATTGGAGCACTCACATCGTTTCTGCCAAGTTTCTAAGTATTGCACTGTACAGCTAGTGACAGTCATGCCCAAGTGATTGGCAAGGTGTTATTACAATAATGTCCTCAATTTTCCCATATAGCATTTGAGCTGTTTGCTTTCTCAGAATACAAAACCCTGAGCTGTTTTCTGTAATTATACCAGATGCATTTTAAGGCACGCTCTTAGGCGTGTGAAAAGAAAGAAAACCCTGTAACCACGGAGGTCTGCTTGGTTTTCCTCCTGAAGAACAGAAGACCTGCTGACCGCCACCTTCACAATGGTGCTTCTTGGTGGGCACCCAGTTGGCCCAGCGTCCTGCCTTCATTTGCTTAGCATTTTACGCAGCAGCCTGCGGGCTGGATGTGGCCTGGGATGGTTAAAATGCATTCAATGGCACCACCCAGTCCAGAAAATCATATCGCAGAGGTAGAAAACATGCTTCCGTCCGACTCACCATGGGTACCCTCCCAGAAATCTCTGTGTCAGAGGACCACTTGTGTGGAGGAAGGCAGGCCTGCTGTGCCCGTTTTGAGCCCCTGCCACCACCCCAGGCCTCGTCGCCTCATAGAGCCCCCAGCCCTCCAGAGTTGGCCACACTCTCAGCCACACAGGGTCCCTCTCTATTGTCACCATCTTGAAATGATGAATAGGATGTTAATAAAAGGCCGGACCTTGGAGGAAGAAATGGCAACCCCCTCCAGTATCCTCATCTGGGAAATCCCTTCCCAGAGGAGCCTGGTGGGCTATAGTCCACGGGGCTGCAAAGAGTCGGACACGTCCGAGTGACTAATACTTTCACTTTTCACTCTCCCTGACTCTTCAACTTGGTTTTGGAACCTCTAGTGGCTCCCAAGTGCTCCTGCAACCAACTCCTACTCCTCCGTCTAGCACGTGGGGCTTCTCACGCACGGCCCAGCCCCGCCCAGTCCCCCCAGAGCTGCCCTCCTCAGTTCTCTGGACCCCTCTTTTGCCTTGTTTCCCACCTCTAGTCCTTGTCTTTGTTTGTGTTTCTAAGCCTGCTTCACAGGTAGGACTCTGGGCACCACCCCCCTCCACCGTTTTTCACATCTCTGCTCTTGGGGTCACTCTGTTTAGACGCGAGCCCACCACCACCACTCTACCAGCTCCCACTCTTTGCAACAGACACCTCCTCCCCTCTTTTGCAAGCCCCCTGACCTGTGCGTGCAGCCCCCAAGTACTGGGCAGAGCTGGACCACCTCGGCTGGAGAAGAACAAATACTAGCTGGATGGCCACCAACAATGGAAATGTGAAACATTATTCGGAATAACTGGGTCTTAAAAGACTCCAGAACATCCGGATTAACATAAAGCTCGTGTGGGCAGCTTGAATTATCTGGGGAAAAAATATTCTCTTCGTTGTGTGCACATGGACACAGCTCAGCACGCGGCAGGGGAAGGTCCACTGCCCAGGGCCTCGGGGTCAGTGAGCTGCCTCCTCTATCAGCAGGACTATGGATCACATGCCACGTTCCCCACCCGGCCTTCCACACGAGCCTTGACCACACCAGCCCTGAAGGAAGCCACTTCGGCTGTCTGTCGGGAAGTCCATGACCAGAGGTGGAAGAGAAGAGAAAGCCACGTGGCACATACAATCCCACAATGACAGCCACGGCGGCAATGAAAAAGAGCTCCAAATGGGAAATCGCGACTGCCGCAAGATGGACACGTAAGGTGAAAGAGGCTGGATTTTCCCTCCAGCTTTAGATCTCCAGACTCTGATCAATGAATGAGAAACAAAATGATCTGGAACAAAATTATGAATATTTAGCTCCTTGACCGAAACAATATAACCCACCTGTTGGTCAACAGTCCTATGAACGGGTTGGTGAGGAGCTGGACAGTGGCTTTCGAGGCAAACAGCAGGCCGACCTGCACGTTCTCATTCAGGAGGTCTTTGTCTTCACTGGGACAGTCGGAAGGGGCCGAGGACGAGTTAGCGACCATGCGCTGCGTGGTGGCCTCGTGCACCAGCGCCCCCTGAAGGCGGTCGGTGTTGTTCCCCGTGACCATGGTGGAATTGTCGTAATAGGAGAAGATGTTCTGGAAGCCGCCGGAGGCGGAGGCGGAGGCTGTGAGCCCAGGCTTGGCGGTCTGGATTTCTAGAGCATCTTTCTCATGCTCAATGCTGTACAAGTAACTTGGGATGATGGGGACTGGGGACGAGAGCAGGATAGCAGTGATTACATTGAAAGCCTCCCTGGGACCAAAGCCAGCAAAACTGTGGTCTTGTCAAATGCTAAAGGAGACCCAGAGAAGTGGCGTGTCTGCCTCAGGAAAGGGAGCCTCTGCACTGACACTGAAAATTTTCATGTTGTTTAGCTCTGGGAAAGATTGAGGGCAGAAGGAGAAAGGGGTGACAGAGGATGAGATGGCTAGAGGGCATCACTGACTCAATGGACTTAAGTTTTAGCAAATTCCAGGAAATGGTGAAGGGCAGGGAAGGCTGGTGGGCTGCAGTCCAAGGGGCTGCAAAGAGTCAGACACAACTGAGCAACTAAACAACAAGCTCTGAGAACAAAGCCCCAGAGGCTGTGTGAGCTCTCAGGGCCAGCAGACCTGACCAGCCCCAAAGCTCCCTATGCTTCTTACAGGGCTCCGTCACAGGAATATTGTAGGAAAGGAAAGCAAAATGCGATCTGAAATCTAGTCAGTGCTGACCTGGGGTCAACCAGGGCTTCTCAGAAAGAGGCTAGAAAGACCTTTAAGTGAATGAATCAGGAAAACAGAAACCTAAATTTCATTATGTGTCTTAGAAAAAAAAAAATTAACCTGCAGGAAGTAATAATTTGGAAATTCTGCACCAGGCTCACTTTATCTTTCTATTACTTGAGGGGGAAGCGGCAATGTTTCATACAACTTGACAAATTCAAGACTTCCTGAGACTTTCATAAAGGAAAAGAAAGCTGATGTAATCGAAGCTTTGGGCATGTGTATAACAGAGGATTCAAGACAAAGGAGGACCCAGGCCCTTGTTACTCTACTGGGATGAGCCCCAAAGCTCCAATATTCCTGGAAGTGAAAACCTGACTCTCTCATGCTCTGAAAACTGTTCAGAGAGAGAACCTTAAACAGAGACAAGGGAAATGACCCTTTAAAAAAATCATTTTTATTCATTAAAAATTGGGATATTTTTTAGGAAAATATGCGTGCCAAACCCGTTGTTCATGGGGCTAATTAAGAGACCTGGGTGTCAATTATGTAGCTGTTCAAAAATGTATTACAGCAAAAAAGATGAAAACCAACAGTTAAAACTTCTCTTGATAGGAGTCCTGACATGTGTCCATGTCAAGTCATCTGCAGAGTCACTACATTTATATGTCCCTTCCTTCTATGGAGGGAGGTATGCTGACCTGTTCCTTTAGGTGACAGACCACATTATTAACCCACCTTTTTCGGGGGGCGTAGTAATTATTATAATATTATCCTGGAAATTGCTCTTCCTTCATAGAATTTTTTTTTTATTTTATCGCGTTGAAAGTGACAAGGGGAAGCAGGAAATTATCAGGAGGAAACATAAGTTCTGGGTTTTATCTGATGTCACAGTTTTTTGACCGGACCTCCAGGAAAACGAAGCCGCAAACGCGGCCACTAGCCTAAACGAGGCAGCCGCGGGCGGGGAACGTCTTTTTGAAAAACGTCTTCTCTCCAACCTGCCCGCACCGCGCTGGGGTAAGGCGGGCGCGCCCGGGGACTGGGACGCCCGGTCCGTACGTACCCACGACCGTGAGCAGCATGTTATCCAGTAGCAGCGCGAGGAACACGATGAACAGGATGAGCTTCCGCGAGTGCCGGCTCTCCTGCAGCCAGCGGAGCAGCGCCAGCTCGCTCAGGGCCATGGCTCCGGGGCTCGGCTGCGGGCGCGGCGCGTGGTCAGGAGCCGTGCGGGGCCGCCGGCTCCCCCGACCCCAGGGCTCGGATTTCGCCCGGCCCGGCCCGCCGGAGGGGCGCTCGCAGAGCGGCGCGCACCGGACGGCGCCAGACGGTCCCCGGCGTCCCACCCTCGGCTCACCTGCGGCGAAAGCGTCCTCACCGGCACCTGCGCTCCCGGGTAATAACGCCCGCGAGCGCCGTCGGGGCGCGATCCCCCGCCACGCCCGGCTCTCCGCCGCCCGCGCCCACTTCACCCCCTGCGCGTTCGGAAAGGGCCGCGCGCCCCCCCGCGCACCAGACGTCCTGCACCTCGGCTTTCCCGGGACCCCTCGGAACCCCGCGAGTGGCGCCTCCGGGGGGCTTCCCCTGTCCTCAGCCGGGCCCCGCTCTCCCGCGCGTCCCGGCGGCGATCAGTCCCCAGCGCCGAGCCCCGCGGGCCGGGAGCGGGGCCGGCCTTACCTCGGGGTCGTCTGCGGCTGGCCGCCGTGGGCTCCGTCTGGCCGGCCGGCTCCGGTCGCAGCCTCCACCCCAGCGCCCGGCCGCCGCCGCTCAGTTTACCGGGTCCGGCTCTGACGTCACGGCCGGCGCGGAGCGGGGGCGGGGGGCTGGGGCGCCCGGGCCTCCGCCTTCCCAGCGCAGTAGCTCTCCTGTCCCCGCCCCGCCCCGGACCCGGCTTTGCGCCCGGACTCCGGAGTCGCCCGGTCCCGAGCAGACCCTCGCCCCTGTCCGGGCACTTGGCCGTGCGCCCTGGGAACACCCGCCCGGGTGAAGCGGAAGGGTCTCAAAGGGAGGACGTCAGGAACACCAGGGCGAGGGGCCAAGGGTCCTGGGCTGAGGGGCCAAGGGTTCCGGGCTCAGGGGCCAGGATGAGGAGTCGGGGATTAGTGCTTTCATCTGGCCCCAGTTAGGAGCTAACGCTCTCGTTGAGCCTCCGTGTTCCTGAGCTGGGCCATGAGGACGTGAAGCCTCGTGAGTGAGTGTGCCCGGGACAGAGGTTGGGGTTGGGCAGCCGCGGACAGACCCGTTTCCTGGAGAAGCCGCAGGGAGAAGGGGACCTCCCTCAGCGTCATCCCCACAGTGAGAGTGAGGATATGAGGGCCCCAGGCCCCTGAGTCCAGGTCCCAGAAAGGAGGACCATGTCGCCTGAGCAGGGGACACTGGAGACTAGGTGAGCGCCTGGTGCCCAAATAAAAGGACCCCGTGGGCAGCTGCCCAAGCCCTGTGCGCCACAGTGCTCTCTGCTCAATGTTTTCCGGGGATACTGGCAAAGGGCCTGTCTGTGGCTGACCCGGAGCTGACATCTTCACTACCAAAGGGCAGGAGCCCAGTTTGATTTCCAAGTCCCTCTATTTTATAAAGAGAAACAGACAGACTTCCCTCCTGACACGGCTGGAGCTTTGGTGACCCTTTAAGGGGCGGGAGGAGCAGAAGCTGTTTTCTTGGAAAGCCACTTAGAATAAATGTTATCTGCTGCAGCGGCAGCGGTAGAGTCTGGCGGTGTTTTATTAATGTTTGCTTGTCAGCTGGAGACTGCTAAGAGCAGCGGGGTGCTGTGTGGGGCTCCCCTCTCTCTGCACCTCCTTCCTCCCTTCCAGACATCCCCTGTGCCATCCCCGATGTGAGAGAAATGGTTGGATAAGTAAGTAGGTCAGTAACATGGGGACTCCGGGATGTCCCAGGATGTGTGCAACTTAAATATTAAATGGGGAGGAGGGGAGGAAAACCACTTAGGAGGAGAGAACAGATGGCAGGGAGCTGTTTGAGATGGCTCAGAAGGGGATCACGTTCATGGGGTGGCCCAAAGTACCTGGAGTTTCAGAACAAAGACACAGGCCCTGTCCCTCTGCTCCCTGGGGCAGAAAGGTGTCCTGGTTATCAGGATGCCTGGGTCCTGTCCACTGTGCCCTTGATAGGTGACCTCGGGCACATTATGTATCTTCTCCGTGCCTTAGTTTCCTCAACTCTGAAATGGGGATGCCAACTGGACATGATGCCAACTGGACATAATGCAGTGTTGTTGTGGGGATCCACAAGGATTCCTTAATACAGCACCTGGTACAAAAGTGAGAGTCAGCATCCACTGTTCATCCACCCAACAAATATTTGTTGAGCATTGACTACATCCAGGCACTGTCGATGATATTGGAGAGATATTAATGGCCCAAAGAGATAAAATCCCCATCCTTGGGGGCCTTACACATTCTGGTGGCAACACCACGATGGTGCACAGAGGAAGCCACACCAACTCAAGCCCAGCCATCTAGAAGAATATGGCGCTAGGGGAAAATGCCAATCCCTGGGTCCCTTCTGATCTCTACCACCCCTCCTAGAGCACCATAGCCTATACTAGCATCTTCAGATTTTTTGTTGACATGCCCCAGAGTGTTTTTAAAAAGACAGGTGAGCCTCACACATTTCTCAGTTGGCATCTAAAATATTCTTTCATCATAAATTTAAATAGTTTAGGGGTATATCATGTATGTGTGTGTATGTTAGTCACTTAGTTGTGTCTAAATCTTTGCAACCCCATGGACTGTAGCTCGCCAGGCTCCTCTGTCCATGGAATTCTTTAGGCAGGAATACTGGAGTGGTTGCCATTCCCCTCTCCAGGGGATCTTCCCAACCCAGGATTGAACCCGGGTTTCCTGTGTTGCAGGCAGATTCTTTACAGTCTGGGTCACCAGGAAAGCCCCATATCATGTATCAGTTCAATTCAGTTCAGTTGCTCAGTCCTGTGCGACTCTTTGCGACCCCATGGACTGCAGCACACCAGGCTATATTCATCTTTATATATAAAACCGTTGCCACTCTCTTTTAAATGTACCCAGTGGATTATAAAATTACCACATTTTATTTAAAGAACTTTTTCTTTAACACTGTAAATGTTACATTGTTTCTCTTTAACAATGTAAAAATGTTACATTGTTTCCTTTATGCTCTCAAAGTATATTTTCTAGCCACTGTCAACAGAATTTTATCTAACTGTAATTTTTTATTACTTAAATTCTGTATTTACCGCCTTATCTATTATATGAACTTCAACAGATATATGAACATGCATTAGCATTTTAAAATTTTCTTATGGCCATAAGGTCCTAAGTTCAAAAATTCTTTTTAAGATTGTGTTATTATAGCAATTATTAGTAGTATATAAATGATAAAGCTGAAAACACATAATACAAATTTTGATAAATATTAAACAAAAGAGAAACATATTAGACGTATATTACCTAATGAGATGAGTAGGGAGAGGATTTTTGGAGCCTTAACAGAAGAGAAACCATATTGTCTCTGGATGTTTTTATGCCTCAGAACAATGTAACACAGTAAAACGCTATGTGTCAGGTTGGGTGGGAGGTAAACTTTTCTTTGTCCAGTGGGAGATAGGAGATTATTGAAAGGGGAAGTGATAAAAGAGAATCCTCATGTCTCTACCTGGGACCATCTCAGCCAGGTTAATTTTTAAGTACAGGGCACATGGAATGAGCATCTGCTATGGCTTGGGAAACCTTCATATATACCCAGTGTCCTGAAGTAGCAGATTGAAGAGCCAACCTGGAAAGCCCTGCCTGATCTGGGACTTTGGGACTCCAGAGCCTTTAACTGACTCAGCCCCTGCCTCCCCTCTCTAGCCACACTCGCTCCTCTGGCCTTTCTCTGCTGCAGGGCCTCTGCACATTCTTTGCCCGGGCAGTTCTGCTTCTAGTTATCCCCTTCTCCTTCTTTGTTACCAGTCCTAATGCCACTTCTTAAGGGGAGCCATCCTTTCATGGACACCCCAGCCCCAAGTATCAGGTCCCCTTCTCTTGTAAATCCTCATGAACTGTTACTTCCTCCAGAATATGTCTGTCCATGAGGAGCTTCTGTCTCCCCAGGTATCAGGACCAGGGAGACCCTTCTTGGTCATCACCGAGGTTCCAGAACACAGATGAAGCTCATTAAATACCTGCAAGGAGGATGTGTTCTGGGTAGGTCGGGTTCCCTTCTGAAGCAGAATGGTGGGAACCTGAAAGAGAAGCACCTTTGCTGGAAGGTCAAGGTTACACTCCTGTCTCTCTCCCCCACTCCTCCAGGAGCAGGCTTTGAGGAAGCCCCCTAGTGAACACTGGTGGCTCAGATGATAAAGAATTAGCCTGCAATGTGGGAGGGATTGGGAAAATCCCCTGGAGAAGGGAATGGCAACCCACTCCAGTATTCTTGCCTGGAGAATTCCACGGGCAGAGGAGCCTTGCAGGCTATAGTCCAGGGGGTCACAAAGAGTTAGACACAACTGAGTGACTAATATTTTCACTTTCATTCCCTAGTGAACACATTTATTGGGTTGACCGAAAAATTCATTCGGGATTTTCTGTTGGATATTAAGGAAAAACTCGAATGAACTTTCTGGTCAACCCAGTATTTACTCTTCCTGGGAACCCAGACTGGTGAGATCAGCCACTCAAACCCCTGCCTCTGCCCACTCCCACCCTTTTCAAACACTAGAGACTGGGCAGGTACAAAGGTCCCAGCAGGGTTGATTTTTTTTTTCCCCCATTAAATTTCAGTATTTAGGAAAGATAAGGCATGGAGCTTTCTGGAACATAGCAGTTATTTGAAATCAGCACTATGGGAGATACACTAACAAGAGTTTAAGCTATGGATGGCATCTGATTGGGTCACTTTTACAATTCTGTGAATTTGAGTGAGTCATTAAACTTGTACGTGCCTTAGTTTAGCATCTGTCACTCAAGCATGATAGGAGCACCCCCCTCTCCCGCCCTCACAACACACACACACACACATACAGAGCTGTTTGGGGATGGAGGGAGATGATCCTGGCATAGTGCCTGGCACGGAGCAGAGGCTCACAGTTGAAGGGTTCCTTGGCCTCAGAAAAGTGAAAGTGCTGATACGTGGGAGATGTAAGTGGTCCATGGGAAAATCCTCAGACGCTCCCCCCATCAGAGACCTTGGAAATAAGGAAAAC